AAAACGTTTGGAATTAGGGCTTTTTTTTTTTTATGTTGATGAATGAATTCCGGTACTTTCTCCTGATTGGCACTGAAAATCGCGCAGGTGAAGAAACTGCAGGTGATGCTGAGGCAAGCCAACGACCAGCTGGAGAAGACGATGAGGGACCGGCAGGAGCTGGAGGAGTCGCTGAAGCGGAGCGCCGAAGACAGCAGCCAGCAGGTGCGCGCGCTCGCCGCGGAGGACACGCGTGTGTCATCTAGGCCTCGAGACCCGGCGGTTCTCGTCCCCAGATAGCGAAGATCTCTTACTGACCTTTTTCTGCTGCTGATTTACAGATTTCTTTTAAAAAAGTATACGTCTGTATCCATACCTTGGGCAATAACTGGTTAGTGAATGTCGTCAGGCTCGGGTTCTCCTTTCCCCTTTGGTTTTTACTAGTTTTTTTCTGCTGCACAAAACACCTTCCTGACAGGAGCGATCCCAGTTATGCTATGACTGTTGAAAAGTGTGCAAATGGAAGACTCTCAAACATACACAGATCTAGCAAACTTACCAGAACTAACCTCTGTGTGAGCGCTGCCAAGATCGCGTAATGGAACCCGAGCCAGGGCCCCCCGCCCCCCTCACCAGAGGGGACAACCCCCGTCCTGACTTCGATGCCATCGGATCGGTGGTGTGTGTTCCTGTCCCCGTCCCTCCTCGCACGTCCTGAGAGTCTGGCCCGGTGCCTGTGGCCACGCTGTGTTCTCCTTGAGCCTTTGTGCCCGTGCGTCAGTCTGTCCGTCCTGACGGGCGCTGGGCCAGTTTCCGGCTCTGGGGAATTAGGAGTAATTGTTCTCTGAAAGGTCTGTTGGGCCGGTGGCCTGTGCTCCCGCTGCGTAGATGCCAGGAGCGGACGGCCTGGGTCAGTGTCCAAACTGTGTTCAACTCCAGTAGGTGATGATGCCAGCTTTCCACAGCTTGTAGCAGCGCGTGGGAGTGATTTCTGGGGCCCAGTGACTTCGTTTTGTTGTTTTAATTGTAGCCATTTGGGTGGGTGGGTGGTGCACTGGGGCTCAGTTCTGATGACCGCTGCGGCTACTTAGCGTTTCTGGTGTTTATCGGCCACAGGGCGTCAGTGTGTGTGTGATTCCTCCTCAAGCCTTATGCTGATTTTTCTATTGTGTCGTCTCTTTTGGTTTTATTTATTTTTGGTTATTTTTCTGATTTGTTAGACGTTCTTTTTTTTGTTGTTTTTTAATTTTTTTTTTTCAACGTTTATTTATTTTTGGGACAGAGAGAGACAGAGCATGGACGGGGGAGGGGCAGAGAGAGAGAGGGAGACACAGAACCGGAAGCAGGCTCCAGGCTCCGAGCCATCAGCCCAGAGCCTGACGCGGGGCTCGAACTCCCGGACCGCGAGATCGTGACCTGGCTGAAGTCGGACGCTTAACCGACTGTGCCACCCAGGCGCCCCTAGACACTCTTTACATAACCTTACTAGAGCCTCTTGGTGATACGTGGGACAAATGTCTTCTCATCGGTGCTTTATGTTTTCAGTATTTTAATGGTGTCTTTTTGAACAGAAGTTAACTTTCATGTAGTCAAATTTATTGATCTTTTGTTTTTAAAGTTTATTTGAGAGAGACACAGCACGAATAGTGGTGGGGCAGAGAGCGAGGGACAGAGAATCCCAAACAGACTCTGCACTGTCAGCAGAGAGCCCGATGGGGGGGCTCAGACCTACAAACCGTGAGATCATGACCTGAGCCAAAATCAAGAGTTGGATGCTCAACCGACTGAGCCACCCAGAGACACCCCATTGGTCCTTTATGATTGCTGATGTTTGTTCTGTGTGTTTTGTTTTGTTTTTTAAAAATGTCTTCTTGCCCTGGGATCATAAAGACGTTTCATATATATTCAGTATATAGTCATGTTTCTGTCTAGAAATCCATCCAGAACTGACTTTTATGTATATACTATAGGTGAGGTAAAGATTTAATTTTTCCATATGGATAGCCAGTTTCTGTACATTTAGTGAGATCACCTTTTTCCTGCTGCTCTGCGAGGTCACCTTTGTCACTCATCAAGTGAGTATGTGTGGGGGGTCAGGGTCAGGACTCTCTTCCATTGGTGCCAATTTCCGTGCCGTGACCGATAGTAAATTTTTCACTTGCTGCTTTAAGTTTTTATTTCCCCGCTGAGAACTATGTTTTCATTCATTTCAAAGCATTTACTTTTGCCTCACGCAGCAGTTACAATACCCGCGTCACAGCCTTTGATGACTCCCCCGCGCCGTCATGGGGTCGGCGTGTGTGCGTTCCTTCTCCCTGGAGAATGGGGCCCGTTTTCCTGATTCTCTCGATGCCAGGTGCTCCTAGATTGTATCCTGGGAGCTGTGGATATTGTGTGTGCGACTCAGGATTCTGTCCGTCTGATTAAGTTCAGTTAAGCAGGTTGTGACTAGCCCCCTGTGAGTGGTGCTTTAACACCAGCTTGGTTTTTAACGTCTTTGCAAAGCCTTTGGACGTGTTCATTTGTGTAGCGCAGGGGCGGGTGTGGGACCTGTGCGGGGACCCTTTCTCTCACCCTCCTCCCCGAGAACGCGCCCCTGCTGTTGAGCTTGCGGGGACCCTGCGCTGGTGCTGTGGTCGGTGGAGTCTTGTCCGCTGAGCTGCTCTGCTGCCGAGAAGTAGCCGCCCCCCTGCCCCGTGAGCAGTAAATTCCATCCTGGTGCTTCTTCCCGCTTGAACTTCCTTTTCCAAACCTTCTGCTTCTGCTCAGTGTTCAGCGTCCTTGGGTCCCTGCCCTTTGTATTTATCCAGAGTCTTTAGTCATCAGGGTAGAGAAAGGCCGCGGTGGGTTTAGTCTATCTTGGAAGTCTCCAGTCTCTCGTATTTTTGTCCATTAGATGGATTTTTACGTTTCCACCTTCTAGAAGGGTACTTGGCTGGCTGTGAAATTCCGAGCGCTCACGCTGTTTTCTTCTAGCGCTTTGAAGTTCCTGTTCATCGCTTCTGGCTTCCGTGTTTCTGACGAGAAGTCAGCTGTCAGTCTTACTATTGCTTCTTTGAAGGTATAATGTTATTTTTTCCCCTGGCTATTTTAAGGATGTTCTTTTTGGCTTTTGTTTTAGCAGTTTTACTGTGCTGTACCTATGTGTATTTTTTTTTCATATTTCTCCTGCTTTTGGGGTTCACAGGGTTTCTTGGATTCCTGAATCGACGTCTTACATCATAAGCCATCATGAGTCTTTTAAAACCTTGCTTTTATTGAGCTAGACATAAAGTATAGAAACCTCAAGTGTAAAATTGGATGAATTTTAACATGTGAAAAAACGTAACCAGGGTGATCATCACCTGGAGCAAGATGCAGAACTTTCTAGTACACTCATGAGCTTTCTAAATAAACACCTGGCCTGCCTGCACGTAGGGGCAGGCGGTATTCTGACTTCTGACACTGTTTGTAGTGCTCGTTCTTGAACTTCATATCAATGGAATCCTGTCATGCGGAACCTTTCACATCTGGTCGTTGATTGACGATTCTTTGAAACTCCTGCATGTTGCTCTGTGTATCAGTAGTTGGATATCGGTGCTCGATCCGTTCTGCAGTTGAGGGATACATGGATTGTATTTCGTTTCTGGCTGTTGTGAACGAGTATGTTTGCTAATGCCTCTGTGTGTCTCTGGTGGGTGTGTGGCCTCGTTTCTCTGGAGGGTATCTAGGAGTGAAGTTACAGGGAAATGATTTTTTGCTCTCCTAGTCGTTTTTCCAGTGGCCATGTTTCTTTAAAGGTTCGTACATGTGAGACCTTCATGTTTTAATCTATATGGCTTTTTAAGCCTCTTCTGTGTTTTCCATCTCTTGTCTTTGCTTATTTTCTTCAGATCTGTCTTACAGTTCACTAATTTTCTCTTCAGATGGGTCTAGTCTGTTAAATTCATCCATTGAATTTTTAATTTAATTGATTTTTTTTCCACTTAATTATTTTCCATTGTTTCCAGTTCTCTGGAATTTCTAAATTCTGTCTTTTAAGTCTCTAAACAAGTCAAATATAGTTAATTTATTTATTTAATTTTTAAAAAAAAATTTTTTTTTTCAACGTTTATTTATTTTTGGGACAGGGAGAGACAGAGCATGAATGGGGGAGGGTCAGAGAGAGGGAGATACAGAATCTGAAACAGGCTCCAGGCTCTGAGCCATCAGCCCAGAGCCTGACGCGGGGCTCAAACTCACGGACCGCAAGATCGTGACCTGGCTGAAGTCGGACGCTTAACCGACTGCGCCACCCAGGCGCCCCAAATATAGTTAATTTAAAAGTCTGTCTCCAATAATCCACACATCTGGATTCATTTTAGGTGTTTCTGTTACCTGTTTTGTTTTTTTTTTTTGTTTGTTTCTTTTTGTTCTTGTCCTTTCTTTGTGCATTTTTCTTGTGTGCTTGACACTGTATGTGAATATGCTGGAATAACATAAAGCCGTTTTCCTGATGAGAGGCAAGGAACTGGTGGTGCTAACAATCTTGGGCCACCCGAACCAGACATAGAAATTGACGTTTTCTGAACTTGTGAAGGTTGGGTTATTTTAAGTTCTTCCCTTACCCTAGGATGCAGCCTTCTGGGGACCCAGTCCAAAGTGCAGTGTGCTTACCAAGGTCCCTTTGCGTTGTGGGTTCTGGATTCTTCTCTGTTGTCGCTCTGTCGTGGGGTGCTCAGCTTCCCGTGTCCGCTGTTTCTCTTGGGACTGGCATGCGCTTCTAGAGAGGACTGTTCCAGATGCTGCTCTGCTCCACCCTCCCTCCGGGGGTCCTGATCTGGTCCTCGGCTCTGCGATTCCTTTTGTTTTGTTCTCTGGTGCCTTCGGGTAGATACCTTTCATATTTTTGTCTGGTTTTCTTAATGCTCAGCAGGGGGTTTGGTTCACGTGAATCCTGGCAATAATAACTTTGTAAACACCTAAACACGGGAGCCTGGGTGGCTACGTCGGTTAAGTGTCCCACTCTTGATTTCAAGTCATGATTCACAGTTCGTGGGTTCCAGCCCCGCGTTGGGCTCTGAACTGACATCGCGGGCCTGTTGGATTCTCTTTCTCCCTGTCTCTGCCCCCCCCCCCCACACACACCCTGCTCTGTTTCAAAAGAAATCAATACATTAAAAAACGAAACGTCTAAACAAATTTAGTTTCTTATGTATGAGTCACCAACTTTCACATGAACCTTCTCAGGGAGTTTAGGGGCTCCTGGGTGGCTCAGTTGGTTAAGCATCTGACTTTGCTTTGGCTCAGGTCATGATCTCATGG